GGTCTATATATACCTGTTATAAATGAAGAATTGGATATTGAAATTTAAAAGTTATGTAGGAGTACAAAGGACCTAGAAAAGTAAAAAGAAAAAGAAAACAGTGTTGGAAGACGTTTAGTACCTAATTTTAAGATTTCCTCTAAAGGTACAGTAATCAAGGCAGTTGTCGGTGTAAGGAAAGACATATAGATCATTGGAATAAAGCAGAGAATCTAGAAATAGGACCACACATATACGGTCCACTGAGTTTTGAAAGATTATTTAACATTAGCATTTTATAGAACTAAGTTTCTATGTTTTTATTGTTATTTCTGGTGGCAATGCTGGGGAGAGAACCCAGGGCCTTGCGCAAGCTAAGCAAGCACCCTGCCACTGAGCTGTGCCCCTGACCAAGAAGTTTTTATCAATGCTTCAACCTCGAGATTTTGAAAAGGAGGCTTGCAGATGTAGCTCACTGCTAAAATGCCTGCCTTACATTCATGGGCGGCACCTAAAGAAATTAATAAATAAATATGTCCAAAGAATTTTTATACTCTTATTATAAAGAAAAACTGTATTGTAAATGTAATTTTACTTTTTTTAATCACTTTTTCCTTATATTAGTTCTTGTCTTATATTTTAAAATTCTGTATTTAAAAATATATTGAATTATATGAACTGACTTCATCTTTTTGTTTTGTTTTGTCAGATAAATGCAAATCACTAAGCTAAAAACAAGCCCAGCTCAGGAAAGATAATCAATGCAAGAAGAAAACAAAGCAGATCTTTCACATGGCAGAAATAAAGGGTGCAATTAATACATTAAGAATTCAAATCCATGTCACTTTAATTTTTAAAATCTTAACTATTTTAATTGTGGATATCTGAGAGGTATGCAGAACTGTAAGATTTTCAATTCATAAAGTTTTTATAAGGTTTCTTTTCTTTGGAGTTGTTAGAAAAATTTATTATTGTCCATATTTTCACTTTTTTCAAACATTAGCACGGGCTGTGTGGGATCACTGAAGGTGGGAACCATGTTCCTTCCATCTTTGTGTTCTGCTTGAGCACTGACACTAAGGGTTTACTGAATCAGGGAGTGTCATAATCAAAAAGCTTTAAAAAGTCCATGTACTTTTAAAAATAAAAAGGGACTGTAGGGCTGCTGGCTCAGTGGTAGAGCACTTGCCAGTAATGCCCAAGACCTTGGGTTTGATCCTTAACACTGCAAAAACAAGAAAAAGAAAAAACTACAGTCACCACTTACTGTTTTGTTGTTGTTGTTGTTGTTGTTGTTGTTGTTGTTGTTGTTGTTTTGGTACCAGGGATGGAACTCAAGATTTTGTGCTTACAAGGCAGGTGCGGTGCCACTGAGCTAAATCCCCAGCCCCACCACTTATTTATTTTTCTAAAAGCTGCCAGTCATTCTACAACACTCTTTGCGTGCACTATCTCACTTAATCTCCACATATTCCAAAGAGTACTATTCTTTTCCTTGTTTTGCAGATGATGAAAGTGAAGTTTAAAAGTTACATATTCAAGGAGACACAGCTAGAAAATGGTGGAGATGGCATTTGAGCCCTGAAAGCCCTATGGCAAGCTAAAAGCAAATCTGCAACTCCTGTTAGAACTCATGCACCTAAATTAGACATAGGGATGGTCTTAAAAGGCTGTATAAATCTATTTTACTCAAATATCACACAAATAAACCAAGTGTGGTGGCACATGCCTTAAAATCGTAGCTCAGAAGACTGAGGCAGGAAGATTGCTGTGAGTTTGAGGCCAGCCTGGGGTACATAGTGAGTTAAGCCCAGCCTGAACTACATAACAAGACCCTGTCTCAAAACACCAAAAACAGTCCAAGATTTGGTGAACAAATGCTGGAATACAGCAACATGAGGAAGAAAGGAAGGAGGGAAGTGGGTACCCAGGACACATCAAGGATCTGAAGTGAGAATTGAAGCCCACAGGGAGAGCAGAGACTTCAATGAAGAAGATGGAGGTGGCAAGGGGCACTTTCTCCCTGAGCCCTGACTCACTGTGTGGGAGGGGCACCTCAAACCTGCAGTCACACAGTGACTACTAGCAATCCCAGAGGCCTCCACGGAGAAGTGCACCAGCATGTGGATGCAGGGCCAGTGACTTGTTTGGGTTCAGATGTCCCCTAGGAGAGAGTAATTGTCTGGTAGCCATCTTGGAGAAGGGCCAATGAACCCAAAACTCAGTGCAGTTCTAGGCTGGCTCCATCTAGTGACTCCCAGTGTCAGGGTGAGGCAGAAATCAAATTCAAGGTAGCAGGAGGCACACAGACTGGTGCAGGCTGAATAAAATGGGTTCCAGCCTGATAGCCTCAGCTTCAGAACTAAACATGCAGGCTTGCTGGGATTATCCACTGCCCTGCCATAAACCTATTGCGAGCTTGTTGGAATTAATAAACACGGATCTAGACTCTTGTCTCTCCACTTTTTTTACCAGTGACAGCAGAGACATGCCTTGAACTAGACTTCTTTTTAATCTTCTTTTTTTTCTTCTTTTTGTTTTAATTTTGTTTTGTTTTCTTTTTTCTTGGTTGTTTCTTCTTGTTTTATATAAGTGTGAACATTGTTTCTAGGTTTTTGTTGTTGTTGCTGTGTTCTGTTCTGTTCTTGTTTTTGTTGTTCTCTCTTTCCCTCCTATCTTCTTCACCAGTTTCCAAAAGTTTGTGTAATCTTCCTTTGTACTCCAGTCTTGCTTCTAATCTCTTTCTGTTTCTTCTATTTCTCCACTTTTCCCCCTAGCCCTTTTAAATTTTCTCCTCTGAAGGTAAAATCATCATACTGAGGGCATATTTACTATGTACAATTTTCTGGTTTGTTTTAGATTTTGTTTTGTCTTGTTTTTTGTTTTCAGAGGGTTTTTTGTACCAGGGATTGAACTCAGAACCTTGTGCTTTGCCAGGCAGGCACAGCACCACTGAGCTAAATCCCTGGCTGTAAGATTTTGTTATATAACCACAAATCTAGTTCATATAGTTAATGGTAGCAAATTAATAGTTGCCACAGATTATCATTTTCTAGGCTATGTTTGATGGTATTGTTATTGCTGATGATACTACTTTAGTGAAGGTGATATAATGTTTCTAATTAGTTGTCCTTCCTGGAATGCTAAGACTGAGATTGCCTAAGGGTCATAAAACAATACTATAGGCCAGTGCCAAAGAACCAAGGGCTAGTCCAAATAGGCAGCAAGTCTCATCCCCAATAAATTGAAGAGGTAGGGTCTTGCAGCAGACTCAAAAATCAAAAGCCAGCTATACCTGGAAGACATCTCTGAGAAGTAGTCATTTCCTAAGGGTTCTAAATACTAGCAATAAAGCTACTTGTCATAAGCAATTTACAAGCATCAATCCAGGAATTAAACAACAAAAAACAGAAAATGAAAAGACATTTAAGCAAGATGCAGCCCCAAACTTCCAGCTGACCATTACCCAGGAGGCAATGAGGTGGAACAATTTGAAACCTACCCACCTGGACTCTCTGAAGTAACAGTGGAAGTAACAAACCAGATGAATGAGGCTCTAGAAAAAAATCAAATCAATAGTAGTTTCTCAAATAACTACAGAGATGGTGACCATAATGAAAGACATGCTTAGTGATTGTAGAGCAATACAGATTAAAGAAATAGTGAAATTTAGGAAAATAATGGAAACCCAACATAGGAATTATGAACGCTCAACATGGAAAAGAAATAGAATCTATGACACAGATTCAAACATATCCAGGAGATTAAAAATTCCATTGGAAGTATACACAGCAGAATGAGGAAATGCAAGGAGAGAATATCAGATATAGAAGATAGGATTTTGGTTAGCAATCATGAAAAGAAAGATCTCTTAAAAATAGCAAGTAACAATGAAAAAATCAATCCAACAGCTGCTAGATGATGCAAAGAAGACTTATTAGTAAGACTCATCAGTCAAGGAAAATGAAAGTGATAGCACAAATAACATAAAAACCCTGTTCACAGAAATAATGGCAGAAAACATCCCGAGCAGGGACAAAGAATTTGACATACAATTAAGTGAAGCATATAGAACTCCAATTAGCTGTGATAAAAAAAATCTTCAACAAGAGATATAATAGTCAAGATTCCAGAAATTCAACACAGCAACAGAATATTAAATGCTGTTAGAGAAAAGAAACAAACCACCTACAAAGGAGAGCCCATCAGAATCACAGCAGTCTTCTCAACACAAACCCTCAAGTCAAGGAAATCTTGAAGTATTTCAAGCCCTGAAAGAAAACAATCTCCAAGCCAGATTGATGTACCCTGAAAAACTATCAAAATTGATGGAGAGGACCAGGGATTCAGCTCAGTGGTTTTGCCACTGCTGCACACACGCAAGGACCCAAGTTCTATCTCTAGTACCAAAAAAAAAAAAACTGATGGAGAAATAACATGCTTCCATGACAACACCTGAAGAAATTTATGCCCACCAAACCAGCACTCCAAAATGTTTTGAAGTATATTCTAAAAAGATATAACAAGGACTACAACTCCATGAACCCCAGCAGAATAAATCCACCAGGCAAAACAAGCAATTAAAGGAGTGGAAAGAAGGGAATCAACAACAGGAAAATAATATGACAAGGATAAGTCAATACATATCAGTTACAATCCTCAATGTTAATAGTCTCAAATCACCAATCAAAAAACCAGCCTGGCAGAATGGATCAAAAAGCAAGATCTGGGGCTGGGGATTTAGCTCAGTGGTTCTGCCACCTGCCTCACAAGCACAAGGTCCCAAGTTTGATTCCTGGTACCAAAAAAAAAAAAAAAAAGCAAGATCTGGCCAGGTGTGGTGATGCACATCTGTAATCTCAGCATTTGGGAGGCTGAGGCAGAAAGATTGCTGTGAGTTCAAGGCCAGCCTGGGATATATAATGAGTTCAAGGTCAGCCTAAACTACATAGTGAGACCTTGTCTCAATAAAAGCAAGATCCACAAAATGTATAACAGATAATATGAAATAGAAAGAAAAGGTGCAAAGGGGAAAGGGAAGTGGGAGGGATAGGGGAAAGGAAAGAAGGGAAAGGAATAAATATGAGAAAAGGAAAAATCTTAAAGTCTTTGTAAATGGGGAGGGTGGAGGGATTGAAGGAAGGGCATGGGAATGGGGAAAACAATAAGAACCAAGATATATCATGTAAAGGTACAAATTTCCAATGATGAACGTCATCATACTGTATACCTAAAATGTACCAATAAACTTAATTAAAATGAAAAAGAGCAAGATCCAACAATATGCTGCATACAAGAAACACATTTAATTCAAAAAGAAATTTATAGACTAAAAGTCAATGGATGGAAAACAATACTCCATGTGACAGGAACCCAGAAAAAAGCAAGGGTAGCTATTCTATTTGCAGACAAAGTCAATTTCAAACCAAGACTGATTAAGAGAGACAAAGAAGGTCATTACATCCCTGTAAATGGAACAATCCAAGTGGAAGAGATAACAATCAAACATATATGTACCAAATACTAGTGCATCCAACTGTATAAAACAAATATTAATGGACCTGAAAAATCAAATAAGCGCTAATACAGTTATAATGGGGGACTCGAATACTCCACAGTTACAAATAGACAGATCAACTTGATGTGTCTAAAATATCGACAAAGAAATATCAGAACTGAACCAAACTGTTGAATGAATGGGCTTAGTAGATGTCCACAGAGTGTTCTACCCCACAACACCAGAATACATATTCTTCTCAGCTGCACATGGGATGTTCTCTAAAATAGACCACATAATAGCTCATAGAACATGC